TTTATCTTCCCTTAGTTTGACTTAAGAAATTTCCTTCTGGAGTGTAAATGAAGGCTAGTGTTTTTAACATGCCCAAACACTCCTTTTTTGGATTGAGATAAGACCTGTTGTACAAATATGACTGAAATGTTCATAAAAACTCTGTATTTGCACAAGTTTAAAAATGTTTTCAGGGTGTCAGCTTTGGGAGGTGGGGGGAGAATTCAGCCAAGAAAGGGATAAAAGCAGCATAGAATTATTGCCAGTGTGGGGAGAAGGTGTGCGCTGTGTATGTTTTGTATAAAGAAAGTAACGTTAAACAAGTTATTACCCTCTAATTATGCTGTGTAAATATTAAAAAGTAAATAGTAGATGGCAGCAGCTCGCTGACAGCAGGTCTACTTAGTACTTGGATAGGAGACCACAAGGAAATTGCAAGCTGAAAAAAACATTCTAGAAGCAGTAGCAGCAATGTTCATATTGTTGCCAAGAAAACTGCACAGATGCATCCATATTGTCTCCTGAAGACCATCTCTATTTGCAAGCACTGTTATCTTTACCTTTCCAATGTTAAGAACTAGAGCTTCCATTTTCCTTTTCCCTCCCCATCCTCTTTCCTTCCGTGTCAGGACATTTGAAATTGTCAACCTGCAGGCCAGGAATCGTCTAAACCATTCCGGGAGCCTGACGCGCTTTCAATAAATTAAACATATTGACAGAATGCAATGCAGTCTTGATTTACATAGAACTGACTCTAAACTGTACTTTCTTCAATGCAACCTTCTAGCCTGCTTAGTGGGTGCATCACTGGACGGTGTGCAGGATCATGCTTCCGATACCTTCGTAATCAATGGTCCCGTCGCCATCCTTGTCTGCTTCTTTCATCATGAGTTCGGCTTCCTGTTCGTTCAATGGTTCTCCGGCGTTCATCAATACGTACCTAAAAAGGCAGAGAACATGAGAAGCCTTGAAGTACCACTCCCAGTCTCTTGTTGGGCCACAGCTTCTGAACTCGGAGGCTCCGCTTAATGCCTTTGACTGCTTACTTAAGTGTGTTCCACTCGATGTAGCCCTTATGTTCTTTATCAAAGACTTTAAAGGCTGCTCTGAGTTCTTCGTCCTGGTTTTTTGCCTTCTCGTGGTAAATTCCCATCAACACCAGAAACCCGTCACAGTTGAAGGTACCTTTATCTGGAGGAAAAAAAGAGAAGAGACACTGGGGTCAAATCTGCAAAGACTCGCTTCTGATCGACTTTCTCCATTTATTCATTTTTTTTAGGGTGGGGTGGCTGGCATCTTTTTGCAGCCAGAAATGGATTCTTCCCTCAACACAGAAGTTTGGGGCACTCGGAAGGATGCAGGAAGGAAAGTAGCGATGTTATGAAGTCCCTAGATGGAGCAGAGAGGAATTTTAAGCCTATTTTAAAGCAGTTATGGCTGATCTCAGTTATAGCTGTTCTCAGAAAGCAAAGAAGGCTGGAGGATGGGAGACCACCAGGACATTTTGGGTGGTCCACTGGGTGGTAAAAGAGAATAAAAGCCACAGAAAGCAACAACAAACCGCGTGGGTGTGTCCACAAAGTCTTCAGGAGTTGAGCGGCCCTCAAAGGAGATTTTAAGCACGAGTACTCAGAAGTACCCTGCAAAAGAGCTGTAGCCTATTCCTGCTTGCAAGGCCTTTGGCCCTTCTGCAACGTCATTTGATTTTTTTGAGATCATTTTAGCATTAAAATTAAAAGTTCCCATTTTCTTTAAAATGAGAAGGTTTCCACGCTGTTAAGCAAGGTGCCTCTCTATTTTTCGTCATCCTTCAGCACCAGAGATATTCTCACTTATTTTGCCTTCCGAGAAATGGTGGTGTGATTAATTTTGCTTATCTGGCCCAAAAAGTGGAAGGGGGCTTTGCTGTCTACAGTTTCCAGTAAGTTCCATATTAGATGAAATTTGCATAAACTTCCTCAAAGAAGCCACAAATTGTCCTCAATGGGGGGACTTTTTCTAAAAGAAACTGCCTGTTTGCATAATAATCCATTTACAGTCATACCGTTGGGCTGTGTCTAGCTATAAACGCAACTCAAGTGATCAGGAATGGAAGGAGATCAGCCAAAGGAACAAGCAGTTCAGTTTCCAAAACTGGAAAAGTCTTTACGCATAGGAGGGAGAAGAAAACCGCATCAGAAGAATGTGCGGGGCTCAGGCAGATGGGTTTTGTATATGGGACTCCTGAGAGTCCTAGCGAAGAAGCTGAAATGGCCAGATTATCAGGCCTGGGTCAAGAGAATGGTGAAGGACACAAAATTCTGGAGGACACCATCAGTGCTGGGCCAGAACTTTTGGAAACCCAAAGTCACCCTTGGAAAGGCAGCCGTCTTACTCTCTTTGTCGACATCCTTGGCCATCGTGACCAGTTCTCGCTTGGTGGGGTTGATGCCAATCAAACTCATGAGGCTTTCCAATTCGTTCGTCTTCACCAAGCCGTTCCCCTCTTCATCAAACATCTCGAAGATGCCCTTGTATTCAGTGATCTGCTCTGGTGTCAGAGTTCCTGCCTGGGTGGGAAGGAAGGTGGCGTGAAATTTGGGGGAGAATCAGGAGGAGGACAATTTAGACCTCAGGTTGAATGACATGCTGCTTCTCCTAGTGGCTCTTGGAGATGAGGAAAAAGAAGAGTAAGGAAATGGGAGCCAAGATACTTAAAATGATGGACAACATGGAGAAATTGGGAATGCTGATGTTATGTCAGAACATGTTACCTTTTGCCAGTGATGGAGAACAGGACATTCAGAGTACGTTCATAGATGGACTTTTGCAAGATATAGTAACAGCCGAGAAGCTTACAGGACTTAGTAGTGAATTCACAGGGGCAATAGCTACTTATTACAAATTAGTACAGTTGTTCCAAATACTGGTTGACATGAACTACACTGGACTACATTCACGCAACCCATCCTGTAAATGACTTAATCCATTCTGGATTCACCAGTATAATGAATCATAAACTCACCGAACAGGCTGGGTTGGCAAATCAGATACAGCCAACTCTAGCCATAGTTAATACTAGTAAAATATAGTCTATTTTATAAATGCATTAGCGAGGTCTTTTCCTGGCGCTGTGTGAATCCAATCTGCCTGTTTGGGGAGATGTATTGTCTCCAGATCAAATCGAACTGTTATTATGGCCATAATAAAAATATATAAAGCTACAAGTTAAGGAAATTAGAACAAATGTTCAGACCCCTGGACTAGAGAAGACTGCATAGAGAGGCACAGAACGGTACAACCTGATCAGACAGGAGAAGTAACATTTAGAAGCCAGGAAATTTCTCTGCAGAGGATAAATAAAAATCATCTGGGATTTTCTATAGAGAAACCAGTGAAGGAGGATTGTACGGCAAAGGAACTCCACTCAGGACATACACGTTGATGAAGGAAAATAATTTTACAGGGTTTCTCTTCCAGCCGTTTTAGAATGTCATAGTTAGGGCAAAAATTCATTTTTAAAGAATCTGCCAGTTGACTAGAAAGGAGACAGAGCGAGCACGAACCTGAAGATATGCAAAGCCCACACACAGCAGGAACAGCCTGATGTTCCTCTCCAGAGATAAATCATTAAAGTTATAGCTGGTTAGAAACTCACCATTTCCTTGGTATTTCCAGCCTGGGATGGTGCCCTTCAGCTAACTGGTGACGGAGTAGGACATACGGGCAGGAATGGTGGGGAAGCTACACCCTTATACAGTTAAGAAGAGAGTGCATGAGCCTTTGGCCCCAGGGGAGTAAGGATATTGGCAGCCTTTTATGGGAATGAAAGGTGGCTGATCCTATTTCTGGGGGAAGAATTTGTCTAACCGTACCTGCAAAGTCTAGAAGAAGATTGTCAGTCTTGCACTGAAATGGCGCCTCTGCTTTGCATGTGAAGAAAACTGGAGCTCTCTTGGCAGGTCCCAAAATGCTCACTCCTTCCGTCCTTCCGTCAAAATATAGACTGAAAACTTCATCACCACTAATAGGCCTCTCCCCCTAGAAAGATGCAGTTTGTCTGTCAGGAGGAGAAGGAACGCAAAGGTAAGCAGACAAAGGAAAAATAAGAGCAAGAAGATGTTGGCAAGGGTCTCCATCACAGCCAGTAGGATTAGTCCTGGGCAACATGTGGAGAAAGGAACAGATAGCAGGCATTTGGCTGGAACGTTAGCCTGGGCTGCTCGGAAAATGAAAGCAAAGTCTGAGCACTCAAGCAGAGTGGAAATTGGAAGAGAGGAAAGAAAGAGGACAGAGAAACATTTTCCCACTTTGGGGTAAAAATTAAGCAGGGGATTGCTGCTATTCTGCCTGGGCCAGGCTGACTGCTGAATGCAGTGCAGAGATTTGCTCTTGAGGTCCTCACATGGCATTTATGGTGACAACAGGTCTGTCCGCCTGGACAGAATTGCTCCAAAGGTGGGAGATTTGGTTCGTGGTGAAGCCGAAGGATTTAGAGCTGCAGAGCCTCACCCATGGGAAGAGACAGGCGTTGCAGATGGCTGAGGCGTCTGCAAAGTTCAGCCCCAGTCCTTGGTGCCAGAGGTGGGTGATTTCTTCCCCCTCCATTCTCCAGGGATGCAGGGAAGGGATATTTGGATGGGAGGAGATGCTGTCGTTGGGTGAGGCCAGAAAAGCACCTTTTCTCCTCCGCTCGAGTGCACTAAATTGTGGGAGATGGCCTCTCCTGCTTCGGAAGCATGGCTTCCATTGCAGTTGAGGCTGCCATTTTGACTTTTTATACAATCACACAAACATATATGTGCATATGTACAGAGAAACAAAAAAGAAAAGAAAAAAATGCAAAGCTGTAATAAGTGGACAGAGAAATGGCAAAAGTTGTATAGCTGATGCTCAGGATATTGTTGATGAAGGATTAACCATGACAAGCAGAGTTATTTTTAACAAAAGACAAAAGGGTTTTAAAGGTCTTTTTAATTCTCTGAGCTGAATGTCAGTATCTCCACTGTTTGATTGTTTAGAGAAACCACCTAACCCTGGCTCTGGTTCCTCTTCAGGTCGTCTAAATCTTTTACCATCTTGACAACTTATTTTACCAAATAAAGGTCTAGCCATAAACACATTTATAAAAAAAAAAACCTTATGGAGCACATGGGGCTTTAGCTCACCATGGAGAGGACTTAAAGGTAGGTCTCCAAATCTAAGTCCTCTCCACGGCGAGCCAATTTTAAGCGCCTGCCCTCTAAATATAATTCTCTGCCCCATTATATTATTTTCCTTCCAACCGTCCAATCTGTGCCATCATTCTTAACCAGGGAAAAAGGGGTAGTTTCTTAAAGAAGTAGAAGCCACATATGGTTAATAAGTCATTCCCTTGCCAGTGTAGAATTCGGAAAAGTCGGGCTGTGAACGGCCCCATCTTTTTTCCAGCCTCCTCCAACTGTCATTAATAAAACAGTGGCCCAGTTTTTCACCCTTTTGAAGCGGGCAACGTGTAGAAACGAAGCATGGGCTGTCAAATTGCCTGAATGTAGTTTAGAAGAAAATATTCAAAGTGGAGAGGGGCCTAAACCCCCCCGAGATTCCTTCCATTTTGCTCTGTGGCCCCAACAATTGAGATTCTTGTTCCTTTCCCCCCAACATGAAGTATGGAAAGCTACTTGCTCCTGAGAAGGGCAGTTATTCCTCTCATTTGGAATTTTCCAGCCAAAGGGGAGACTTTCACGGCGACCGCACTCAAACGAAGCCGAGAACTGATTTGGTTTTGAACGCCTGCCATTGCTTCGCGTGCATCGAGCCCCAAATTGATTGAAGACGTCTCTGGGGAAGGGTGTTTCTTATGGCTCCAGCAAGAAAACAAAATGATACGGTGGCCACCTGTTCTTGTCTCTAAAAAGAGTTAGCTGCAGACCCCATGCCAAATGGCGAGAGGCTCCCTCGAGCCCCAGACTTCATCATTTCTACACCAAATAAGGGTATCTCTTTGGGCCAAGTGTATTTTGAATACCGCCTCGGGGTTTGGAAGCTATGAAATGACCCCTGGAAAAAAATCATGTGGATTAAGGAGGCTTCCAGCCTGGGAATCTTAAAAGCGAAAGGGTTGGTTTTCTCCAAAAGTCCTTGGGAACGCAACTCCATTGGTGCTTTGTATCGAAAAGTAGCTCAAGAGAACTTCCTTTGCTTAAAATGCTACACGTGGTGTGGCTACGCGTCCTGCCAGTCAGTAGAGGCAGAGAAAGGCAGATATCTCTGGTAGGCCAGGCCAAGAAATAACCTCTCCGTTTCTTTTTCGTTAAGGAGAAAGGCCCAGCTACAAAAAAGAGAAAGAAAGAAGATTAAGCTAGACCTGATCCAGTGTCTCGGCAGGGTTGGCTTCTCCACACCGCCTGTTCTTTTGAAAGTGCTGTTGAATGCTGGAGAGGGTTTTTGGCCAGAAAGCAGGCAGGGAAAAGTTTCCATTTCTGTTAGTGATTCTCCAGAGCACTAATGGTAGAAAGCAAAACCAAACGGTGCCCGAGAAACAAAGAGGGGGCTTGTTCGGATCACAGTGCGGCGAGCGAGACCTGCGGCAAAATGTCACAATCCAGGTGTCCCCACGTTTCAGCCAGCTGTTCCTCTTCCAGAATCATAGAGGCTGTTGAAAATTAACCACTCCTCTCCTCCAGCTTTTCTTCCCCGGGTCCTGTTCCCCTAATATGCCCACACACTTCTAACCGACCACCTTTTTGCTGAATAAAACACCCTCAGCTGGGCTCGTCCAAGCCGCTGAGCCATAAATCATGGCTTACCAACCACACTGGGCGGGTTGACGCAATAGGCAAAGCCACAACTGATCAGCAACCTTTGGACTCTGTGTGTGTGTGTGTGTGTGTGTGTGACAGAGAATCCAGCCTTGTCTGCAAGTCTGCAAGGAAGCAGTTGTGTCTCAGCTCAGCCGATGCCTGAGTTCATACCACATACTGGGCCGTTGTGAAATAAATTCACATGGCAAACGAAGCTCAGACTGGCCAAGCCGTAGGATGGCTAAATGCAATGCGTGAGCCTCACCAGTATGTCCATTCAGGCTTCTCTTCTTTGATGGCTACAGTCTGTCCAGGTATTAGCTGCTCTTTTTATTAAAGGGGGGAATTCAGATCTGGATTTTTTGGCGTGGATTGTCACTGGAGTGAGGAAATGCCAGATGATGTCGGAGGGTGCCCCAAATTGCTTCTATTATCTCTGCTAGTGTTCCTCAGGAAGCACGTGGATCCTGTATTTATGCTAGAGGCCACATTACGTGTGGGTGGGTGTGCGCGCATTGCGTTGCATAGCATGCTTGCTCATCCGTTTCCCAGATTGCGCCGTATCACAGCTCCCGTTCCTTCCTTTCTTTGCTTTGGAGAGCCAACCCTCCGCTCCGACTCTTAGGCCGCCCTACTTCTGCAGCCGCAAACCCCAGGCGCTTCCCCGCTGCTCTTTCTGCCAAGGGAGGGGCTGAGCAAAATTGCATTGTGTGGCGAAATGGACGCACGTGCGCCCTCCCAGGGATGCACGCATCTGATTTGCCAGGAGCTAAAAATAGCTCTCATGCTCACTCTGATTTTCCACATCTGTGGTCTCCCGTCTCTTCTAGCTGGTTGGCGATGCTCACTTCTGGCCTGGCTTGCAAGCTCTGTTAACATCGAGGGAGGGAGGGAGGGAGGGAGCACCAGGACAGCCCCCTATTTCTCTCCTTAACTTCATCTTCTCTCCTCCATCCCCATCAGAGGGGTGTTGTGTAGAGCAGAAAATAAATCTAGCAAACAAACTGGTGGTGTGTACCTTTCCCTCCCTGCCCCCGTCTTTTAGATATGACCAAACCCCAAACTAGGTCAAACCTAGTTCATTGGGCCCAAATTGACCCTCCCTGCCCCCAGACAAAGCCCCTGC